AACAAATCGGCCACAAATAAACATGAGGAATTGTGGGCTCCGGAAATAATATATTCAAATACTATGGACTAACATATTCAAACGAGGAATTTGCTCTCTCAATGTTTATTCAAACTAAATCCATTTGTTTCTTATTTAGAAGGATAAACACTAATGGCACAATTTTATAGAACCCATAACTTTTCACTAATGGGAAAGCCTTCATACCACTAAACTAGAGAATTACAGGCAAATTGAAGTCATATTTAAAGAGTTTAAAAATACTTACCTTAAGGAGAGCCTATCTAGATATGTTTCTCTTTGAACAGGGAACCACTTAGGAAACTGATCAAGAATCCATGAAATAGCGAACCAAAGCTCACATATAACAGCGACAAGCCATAAAGCAAATGCATTGTCCACAGGATGTGTCAGTCTATAATGAAAAAAGAATCCCAGAATCACCACTCGAATTATTATCATTATTCTGCAAGGGTTTATTTTGCTTGATGGAATTGCCATCTTTCTCGACAATGCTTGTCTTGCCTCATCCATTCTGTTCAAAGAATATTACTACCTATCAGAATTATTAAATATTTGGACAATTAAAATAACAATAACGGTCTATAAGAATTAACTAACTATGGATCAAATAAAGAAGATAAGTAATTAAAGACAAACTTAGGTCCATTTATTTATATCAATTTGGTCCAATTCTCCAATCAAATATTGCCATATGTGATTTTTATTATCAATAACAATCTAATGGAATTTTGAAATTTTATCAATCTGAATTCTTATTATTAAAAAAGCCCATACGAAAAAAATTGGTTGGAGAATTAAACCTAATGAATATAAGTGAATAGATCTAAACTTTGTCCATTAATTAATATCTCATAATTAACACTACTACTTACACAGGAAAATCATTGCCATCATCTGCAAAATTATCTTGATGTTCTTCATGAGTGCTGTCATTTTCAATTCTCATGAGAGGCAGCTTCTCTTGTTTCTGCTTCCAAGTTCCATTCTCTCCTTCCAAGCAACACTACCATAACCATAGGCAGCCAAGTCCTTGGAAGGATCCATAGGTCTTGCTTGAATTGAAATTACCTTATTGCCCATGCTCGAAGGCACTATTGCATTAATATTATTGTGCCCTTCTCCCATTTCAACATCTTCAACCTGTGTATATGCGCGCCATGTGAAAATAAAGATTATAAAATTAAATAAATTAACGAAATTTTGTCTGATTTTATTCTCCCAATTGTATCCTGAATTTCTTAACTAATATTCATTAAGAAAACCAATCTCAAGATCACTAATTCCCGCACAAATTTAATTTATTTTAGCAGCAACGTAACACTCTGAAGTTGTTGCTGAAAATGTTTCTTTTTTTTTTTTTCTTGGCTAGGCACAGGTATCCTTCAATATGAGACAATCTTGTTTGAAACACTGTCAGGCATTAAATGTGGGTACCTCTCCTAACAGGTACTAAATGGCCATGGTTGGAGGGAGTGAAAATTTTCAATTCCAAATCATAGATACTCTTTTTTTAGAATTAATATCAATTTTAATCCTTAAAATTTGACTTTATTTTGATTTTGATCTCTAAAATTTGAAACTAGTGATTGTGATCTTTGAAACCTTATTTCAATGACAAAACAACATTGTTCTAGGGATAAAAATCTTCAGAATGATCAAAATGAAATCAAATTTCAAGAATCAAAACTGATTTTAAATTTCAGAGATTAAAACCAACACAAGGTTGGAGTTTAAGAACTAAAGATGATATAAATCCTTTTTTTTTAGTTATAAGAGCATGCACTAACTGCACAACATTATAAGTAGAATCGAAGCAGTAATCTCCCATTTATTTAAAAAAAAAAAAAAAACTTTCATGCTCCTGAACTATAAGTTCATTGGCAGTAGAACATAGCAGCTCTGGCCAAAGGCACTTTACAGGGAGAGAAGCTATAAACGAAGCAATTTATTACCTGACAGTAAACGCGGACGTGCATATCCTCTTCTTTTCCTGGTCCATTGAAATCAAACTCATTTTCCAAGTCATCAACGTCATCCTCCTCCTCATCTCCCTCAACTCTAGCACTCCCTGATGCCAATATATAAAAGTATTTAATTCAGTATAATTTTAAGTGACTGCCAAAAAAAAATATCATTTTTCTTATTAAATTTTTTATCGAGCATATAACACTTCTCAAGTACATCATTTGTTCAAAAGCAATATCAGTTTTTTTCTTTCAAAAAAAGTATTAAATTTTTTTTGTTATTTCTCTTGTAAGATACTGCTGTTGTTTTTTTTTAAAAGAAGTTACCAATGACAATAATTAATTTGTTGTATTTGAACAACAAATGATCTAATGAGTAATTTTTTTTTAATAACTGTCACCTTGATCGCATTCTAACCATGGCTAACAGTAATCATTTGTAGAACATATGATTAAACCACGTCCCCTTATTTGTAATTGTAATTAAATTAATCAGGCTTAGGACATGTTTCAATTAACTGTAATTATATTAATCAATTACGTTGGCAAAAAAATTATATTAATCAACTATGATTAAAATAAAATGTTATAAGTTGGGTAAAGTCCATTGTTTATTCTTCGTACTCCAAAAAAGCTCTTGATCCCACGAAAGGAATAAAAATAAAAAGTAGAATGTTAAACCCATTTTTTAAGTGATAGAAGTCTATTGGGAATGGGAATAAATCATTTTTAAAGTTTCCTTTTTTTTTTAAATGTTCACCATTTTATTAATCTTTTTCACGGAATTTTCTCTCTCTCTCATTTTTAAAAAGAAGACTTCAGAAAAATTCACGAATCTTCAACCTACGAACCAAGGTATCCTTGCTGCTATTTGATAAGAGTAGCATCAAGACTAAGATATAATCTGGAATTTTATATACACATTTTTTAAATTTGTAAAAAGTTAATATATATGTACACACACATATATATATCTGCGTGTGTAATTCCTTTGTTATTTACAAGACACTTCAAATATATTTAATTCACTGGAATTAAGAAAAATTTTAAATCTTATTAACTCATTTTAAAATTTAATAACTATTCAATTTTAAAATCATGCATCCATAATATAATAACATTTAATGAGGTAACTTATATCCTTATTATAAAAACCAACTAACTAATAATTCAGATGTATCAATAAAAAGAATTGAAAACATTAATTTTTTTAATAAAATTTAAGTGTTTTCCAATATCAGCTACACTAAATTCCAATATCATATTTATTTATATTCCCTTACTACTCTTATTAAATATGGGTTTATATGAAGAATAATATTTAATGCTTATTGAAACTATCAAAAATTCTTAAGACAAAAAATTACTTCTAGAAGGGTTCCTGTGGTAAGGATTAGGAGTATTGATGATTAAAAAATTACTCTCTCTCTCTCCATCTGTCATATAACTAGCACCAGAGGGGGGGGGGGGAGACGCTGTGTGTGTATAATCCAAATGGCGTCAAGAGAGGAAGAGTTGGAGGGAGAGTACCCTTGAGACGTTTATATCTGGTTTTGCACTGGGGACACACATGGCTGCCTTCTCTTCTCTCATACTCATAACAGTTCCTACAAACGGGGAAGGCACACTCATTGCACGCCACAAAAACCTCTCCTTCTTCGTTTATGCCTATCTCATCTCCACATATTTTGCACCCTTTCCCTCTTTCTTCCTCCTTCTCCTCTCTTCTCTGCAACAAAATCCATCAATAATATAATTCATCGGTAATCTCAATTTCCACACACACTATATTAATGTCGTGTCAATTATTTGTCAAATTATCATGCATAGTCACCATAAATTCTAAATATTATTCTAGTTAGAATTTTGATTAAAAAATAATAATATACAGAACAAGTTAAAATCAGTCAAAAAATTTTTTAAAAAAAGAGTAAAATCTTGCTTTCTATTTGAATATCATAATCATACCAATATATATGATTAAAAATTACGATTTTTTATAAGAAGTAATTTTGTTAAGTGGAGTATTGAAGGCTGATCAAACACACACACAGGGACACATATAAGAAGCCTGCTGTATCTATAAAAAAGGATTATAAGTGTACTTGCGTGTGTGTCTGTGTGTGTTACCTGAACAATGAAATTCTCACACAATTGAAATTCAAGCACATATCTTTATGGCTCAATAGTAGTTGTTGACAACGCCAAACTAATAACCTTTAAAAAAATGCTTTTACTTGTTAATGAAAGGCGATATAATTCGAGTTTGTAAAGAGTTAAATATATATACTTACTGCGGAAAAATTGGCATCTGGATTGTTGAAGATGATGAACTCGTTGCTATTGTGAGAGCCTGCAACTAATCCTAATTTGACCTCCATATAGTTTCTGTGATAAGTTTGCTGTACTTTAATTCCTCTCCATTGTATTTCTTTGTTCACTGACTTGTATATATAAGAGAGTGTGATCAGTGAGCTTTGCTTCTGTTTCGCGTTTTAATATTCCTCTTTACCTTTCAGCTCAAGGAAAGATGGATGGATTATCCCACTTTGCTTCGCCAAGAAAAGTACAATTATTCCTCTTTAGCCTAAAAGAAATGTTCTGTACTCATTTTTTTTTGTTAATTATTATTCTTTCCTTCTTTCCCGGTCTCTTTCTCCGCCTGGCGTTTTGGCTCTTTTTCTTGTTTTTATTCGTTTTGTAATTTCTACGCTCCTTTGTGACTCCGCCACGGCGCCACCAACAAAGTCTTTCGTCGGCCGAAACTAGAAATTCAAAGCAAAGTGAAGAGTATCTCTTTACTATGGCTGCCCAATTTTAATTTTCCAATTAAAAACAAAAAGTTTTTCGGTGAATTGCGTGCTAAGGGAAGTGGTTTCAGTGCTTAGTAAGGGCAATTAATAACATCAAAATTTGGAACCTAGATTTAATTTTCTCAAAAAAATATTTTAATGTGTACAAAGTCTCAAATAACGGTAATTCTTTTAACTGAGAGTTTTTTAAAAAAATGATTTTCTATTTAAAAATTATAAGTTGAAAGTTTTAATTTTGAAAAACTGAAACTATATGTAAATAGTCTACATCTCACCACAGCAATGAGTATTGAAAATGTAAAACTAGTTCCAATTTTAAGGGCTAAACATGTTATAATTGAATGCTTACAAATCAGTTACTAATAAGATTATCAAACTCACAAGTCTAAGCAAATTTGTGGTAAGAACATAAAATTATATTATAAACTCGTATCACAAACTAGTAAGAGCTTACCCATTTGATTATCACAAATTTGAATCATTGAATTTTTTTGAAATTTTTTTAAATAAAAAGCAATTATAATATAAGGAAAAAAAACAAAATTCAAAATACAATTTAATAAGAGAGTCTCCTATGGAGAGAGCCCCTTAAAAATTAAAAAAAATATCTTAAGAAAGTATCAAATCATTGAAATTAAATCCATAAATATTCATAATTTGTTATACTTAATATAGAAATTTCTACGAAGTTCAAAAGTTGCATTAGTATTAGTTGCTGCCTTTTGGTTATCATTTCTTTGGACCAGGTCCTCCTACATATATCCTATAAACCGAGTTTTATCTAATACATGTTTGATTTGCTTAGCTCGGGTAAAACTGTAAATTCATGAAGTCAATTTGCATATTTAATTGAGGGTGCAGCCAACACTAATTTAAGAACAAATTGATACAATTTTATAAGTTAAAAAGCACTAAAGTGATAAACTTAAGAGAGCCTAGCTTTTGAGTTTTGCGAGTAATTAATGGTTACTACCAAGGGTCTCACAACTATAGTAAAATTTGGGCCCGCATATTCTCGTAGAGGATGAGCTATATCTCTATCAAATAGGCCAATTGTCGTTTGTTAATATCTTAAGGCTATGTTTTGGATATGAAAAATGAATTTGACGAAACGAAAAATGTGTGTGCGTGTGTGTGAGAGAGAGAGAGAAAGAGAGAGAGAGAGTATTTTTGATGTGCTTGGTAATTAAATATGATAAACATGGTGTGGTTCTCGCAAATTAGTGTGATTTTCTTAGAAAGATTGCTTTTTGTGTTTTATTGGTAGAAAGATTTCTCATTTCCTCTCCTTTTCACATTTTTATTATTTTGTATCAAATAAATAGGCCAAAAGCTGAAAATTCTTCCTAAAGACCATACAAACAAATTACTTTTTCTGTTTTCTAATTATTCTATTGGTAGTAATGTCATTTATATTATTATAACTTAATTGGCACGTCCCCAAGTTTTGGGGGTGAAGGGAGCAGGTGGACGGCAAAGTGAAGAGAGACCAACGGAATTGCATTTTATTTAGGCTCATTATTAAAAAAGAACAAAAGACCCAAAAAAAAAAAAAAGGTGTGACTTTCACTAATACATAATGCTATGTTGAGCGTCGTTAAAATTGAGTTTTTGCTATTTTATATATGCGAGGTGCAGTAAATAGGAATAGCAATAAATACCACTTATGTTATAAAGCAACTGACGCTATGAGTCACGAAAATATGAAAATATGAACGAGTTTGATCCTTATAAACACAGCAACCGCAAGTATTTAGGGCTGCTTGTTTCTGTTTTTTGTTTTCTTGTTTTCAAAACAATTTTGTAAAATTATTTTTTAGAACAAGTTTTGAAAACAAAAAACGGATAATAATTTTAAAAATTATGTTTGAAACAAATTATAAAAAATACATTTGATAGGTGATAATTGTCGTTACTAGTGGTAGATGGTGGATAGTAGGTAAGAAGATAAGAAGATTTCTTAAAATTTTTTAAAATAAAAAATAAAAACACAAAAATAAAAATAAAAAAATATATAAAAGTCATTTTAGTTTTTTAGTTTTTAAAAACATGTTACTGTTTTTTGTTTTTTTAAAACAATCAACTAGAAATAAATTACCAAACAATATTTTTTGTTTTTCTGTTTTTAAAAACAAAAAATTGTTTTCAAAATAAGAAACCAAACAAGCCCTTAAATTCTACAATTAATTAAAATATTAATATATACATAGTTATAGTGCCTGGTGCTTATTCACTATGATGCTCATTATCGCATCTATTAGAAATAAAACAAACGCTCTGGTCAAAAAGGAAAAAAAGAAATAAAACAAACGTAAAGATATGATAAATCTATTATCACTTATATCTTTTAAGTAACAAATACAAAATCTATGTAATAGTTAAATTAGTATTTTTCACTAGTTTTGTCAATAAAAGTTGACCCAATTAGTAAGAATTTTTCAAGGTTATGAGTTCAAATGTCACTCTTGATATGAGAATTTTATTAATAGATAATCAGTAAGTATTTTTGTAAACATACACTCTTTAAATGAAAGCATCAATTTTTTTGTCAAAGAAAAACCTAGTGTGTTAGTGTCACTCTAACTATAGATCTCTACTAGTGACAAGAAGTTCTTGGAAAGCAGATAATGTGTCATGACGTAGGGATTGGATTTGGATGACAAACAATATTGTCAAAACCAAATCAAAAATTGAATCAGTCAAGATCCTACTTCACTAAATCATAATAAAATTAGTCTCAATTAAAATAATATGTTTTTTCAAATAAGACATACAAAAAAAATAACTTGAACAATTTTATCCATATAATCTCAGACATGCCTAACCAACGGTTTTTGGCCAATATTTTGACTAGCTCACTTTTTCTTCCCCATTGATTCTACATATTCCCATAGCAAATTATAGATCAGTGATCAAACCGGGGGGGTTCAACTTTGTTCTGAAATCTTTTTTCTTTTCCGGTGAAAAGAGGGGCAGAGCCCAAATTACATCCTAACTATCCCAGGTCGGCTAGTTCCAAATACATCATCTTGCAAAATACGGTCCACTTCCACAGGGGGTTGTCTCCATATTATCTGTTCTCCTTATAAGCAAGTACTCATAGCTGCCAAGGTGTCTGCACACATATTACTTTCTCTATAGATATGTCTGAACTTGATTTGCCAGTCTCTAGACTTCAAATCCTGGATAATGGTCATTAGGTGCATATAACCCGGCAGTGATCTGTCATTTTCGCAGGCGTCCACAACCACTAACGCATCACTCTCGACTTCTATCTTGCAGAAACCCAAATTCCAGCATAAGTCCAGGACCTTAATAATACCTAGAAATTTTGACTCTATTACATCCTTTTACCCAGTGTTTAAAGAACCGGATCGGACCGGACGGTTCGACCGGTTAAACCGTCGGCCGGAATCTTCTCCGGTTTGGTTCAGATCTAAAACTCGTTCTGGAGGTTGGACCGTGTTTACCCGTCATTTGGCCGCTATTAAGCCATCAACCGTCATAAATCCGGGAACCGGAGCGAGTATCTGAAAACCGTCCGACCAAAATCCTGTCCATACTTCCATCTCAAACTTGAAAGCTCCATCTTCTTTCTTTGCTCTTGCTCTGCAAGTTCGCCATTTTTCCTTTGCAATTGAAAGCCCATTCGACTTCTCAGCCACTCTGAGTGTCTGTAAGGGAGGTTAGGAGGCATGGATGCATGACAATGAAGGACGGAAGAAGAAGGAAAATAGCCTCTGAAATGAGAAAAAAGAGAACGAAATACAAAAAGAAGAAAGAAGGCCAGGGAGGAAGGCTGGAGTACGAAAATAAAAAAGAAGGTCTGGTGAGCTTTTGAGAGAGACTGTGATATGCAACAGTCAAAGAGAAGCAGACCTCAAAAACCTCAAAAGAAGACTTGGAAATGACAAGTTACGGTGGATAAAAAAACTAAAAGTTGAAATAAATTAAATTAATAAGAAGAATATATGCAATTGTTTTCACATCAAAACTTTCATATGTCAGATTCTTCGGCTAAGGATGTGAAGCACGAGTACCAAAATAGAGAAATGGATTATATTAATAAATATTTATATTGAATTATTTATTATTTATTATTTCTGCTTTATTTAAAAGTAAATTAAAATTTACTGCTACTTATATTAAACTTAATTAATATGAAACTGATAATTTTATTTTAATTCTCTTCCGTAACATGAAATTCAACTATTTAATTGTTTTTTAAATTACCCAAAAATTATATATTTTATTTTTTGCACATATATTATTATATATGTATGTTATACTATTTTTTTTATTTAATTAAAATGTTACCGGTCCAACCAGACGGTCTAACCGATCTGACCGTTTGAACCGTGACCCGCTGATCTATCCGGCTTGACATCCGGTCCGGCTTTTAAAACATTGCTTTTACCTAACCACATGGAAAAACCTCTTATCCATTCCCCACAGTCTCCTCTAATCACCCCCCACAACCTGCCTCTCTATTCATTACCACCATCCCGTCTGTGTTTAATTTGCACCAGCCCACCTCTGGAGGCTTCCACGACACCATTATCATCTCTTCACAACCTTCTCTTAGAGGGTTGTCTTGGC